ATACTCCTTAAATGGGAAAACATATTGCAAATATAAGACATTATGGTTCTACAGAGCCTTGAAGGACATAATGGATCTTAACTTAAATTTGAAGCAATTCCTAAGGCTAAATAAAAACAAAAAATCTATAAAAAAACTACTAAAAATTAAATCGAACTACCTAAACCTCTCATAATTTTTTTTTTTTGTATTTTTCAGGTTATTTAATTTCTTCATCTCTCAATTTTACCTCTTGATTTTGTCTTTCACCTTTTCTGTGAATTACTTACTTCACTGACTTCAGCTTTTATTTATCTTATTTTCTGAAAAAACTGCATGGTTAACATTATCAATAGCTCTGTTATAATTCACAAATGTAAAGCAGAAGGGGGTTTTGTACTTAGTTTTTCTGCATGATTATTTTTCTAAATTAATTTTTGGATCCAGTATTTTCTTTTCTTGGCCTGTATATACTTATGTATTTTGGTGTGGGTGATATGCTTTTTCCCATGCTATAGGATGTGATGGCTATAGCTCAATAAGCCTTAAATTTCTGTGGTCTTAGTTTTTTGGGTAGTTACTTAGGTAGGATTTTGATCCATCCCACTGCAGTAGTTCCGCTCTCCCATATTCTATTAAATGAGGGCAAATAGGTAGCGATATTGTTATAGATGCTATTTATTTTTTTGGTTTTTCTGCTGTGATATTATCTGGCCCTGGAGCTTTGCTTTTTCTTAGTGTTTTTTTTCTTAGTCTTTTGTTATTTCATTTATGGAGAAACCAGTCGACAGGGGGGTGGCGAGGTTTGTAAATATGTTTTGTTGGTAGAGTCTTTCCGTGAGTGATAGACTATCATATAACAATCAAGCCAAAATGCCTTTTGTTAATCCTGGCCAACAATTACTTTTCCATTTCCTAAAACTTACAGAGCTGGTTCCTATTTTTGCGTCATAGTTTCCTTTCTCTCATATCTTTATCATTATCAAAGACCTTTTTCGCTATATAATCTATCTATCACTCCATAGAGTATTTTGTTTCTCTGGAAAAAGGAAAAAATAACCGTTTGTTGTGTGGTGTTCGTTGCTGGATAGTCATAAACCGATTACTGACTAGTTTTTGCCTATTCACTGGAATTTTCACCTATTTTAAACAATTTGTGGTAAACCCATTTTAGCTTTTCCTTATTTTCATGAATAATTTCTAATCTCAATTGATATGAACACATTCTCAATTATTTGTTAGTAACTATCAAGGCTTACATTAGATGTTAAACTTAAAATTAGCCACCACCCACCCTTAAAGTAATTAAATTATTTTGGCAGTTCATGGGTATAGGCTTTTGTTTTGCCCATTTCTTTTGTTGATTAGTCTATAGACGTTTAAGCGACAGTTCTCGGACTGTTGCGCGTACAAGTACGTGCGGCTTGCCCACAAACGTGTGAAGGGCTCCTCATTTTTTTCTCCCCTAAATTAACTATCCAGTTTGATGAATTTTTGAGGAAAACCTAGCGTAGCTCTGTTGTATCCACAACCAGAGGGCGAAAACGCTTTTATCACGTATCACGTAATTACATTGCAACAATTTTACCTCTTTTTCTCTTAAATTTTAATATTTTTATAAAATATATTAAAAAGCATATTTCGTATCATATACACCTAACTAATTAGTAATTACCCACAATAGAAATAAATGGAATATAAAATTAAATTTAAGACATTGTTATTAAATCAAAATAAAAAAAATGAAAATTTTATGAAAGTTGCATGGGACTTGGTTTTTTGATCAGGCCTGGCTATGTTTGTAAAAAAAAATTTTCAGACCAATGTCTATATCCCATATCTAAAATTAAATTTTCAAGGATCTCTATTTTAAATTTTAGCCAATATGATTTCTATCACAATTTAAATTTTGATATTTCTAATACCCTCTTAATGTTCACGTGTTACATTGCAACAATTTTACCTCTTTTTCTCCTAAATTTTAATATTTTTATAAAATATATTAATAAAGCATATTTAGTATCATATACACCTAACTAAATAATTACCCATCAACCCCATCATTCTGATTAAATTAAGTTAATTTTATAAAAAAAAGTTTCATATATATACAAATATATCAAAATATAATATTGAAGGGGGGGATCATTGGAAAGACGTTTGCCTTCCGAACGATAGGTCGCGAGTTCGAATCCCTGTTTTGCCATAAAAAATTTTTTAAAAAAAATTTTAACATTAGCGAGATAATAATAGCCCTCGATTTAGATCATTGGAAAGACGTTTGCCTTCCGAACGATAGGTCGCGAGTTCGAATCCCTGTTTTGCCATAAAAAATTTTTTAAAAAAAATTTTAACATTAGCGAGATAATAATAGCCCTCGATTTATTTAACATTAAGATGATAGGAAAGTTGATAGAAAAAAATATTTTAACATTAGGAGATACATTGGAAAGACGTTTGCCTTCCGAACGATAGGTCGCGAGTTCGAATCCCTGTTTTGCCATAAAAAATTTTTTAAAAAAAATTTTAACATTAGCGAGATAATAATAGCCCTCGATTTATTTAACATTAAGATGATAGGAAAGTTGATAGAAAAAAATATTTTAACATTAGGAGATAGGAAAGTGAAAAAATTAACGTTACGATGATAGGAAAGTTGATAGAAAAAAAATTAACATTACTAAGATAAGAAAACGTTCATTTCTTATTATAGCCGTAATTAGTGTTGTTAATTGGTTGGTTGTATAAAACCAAGACCCGGTGTTTTGGTCTAAAAATCGACTAAACCAGCTCTGAGCAAGAACCCCGAGCACAAACCTTTGGCTCAGACCCGTGGTCGGACCCTTGGTTCAGACCCGGGGTTGTTTTTATTGTTAGATAATATAGCCCTGCAAACAAGTCAGTTTCGGGATTAAAAAATTTATATCTGGTCGAGTTATGGTTTAATTTATAAAATCCAAAATTATAGTTTACTGAGAATAAACGAAAGAAGATACTATAAAATTTAATATAAAAATTAAAATGCTTATTATTTAAATAAATTTAAATATTTTCAGACTCAGGGCTAAAGAAAGGAGGAATGTGCTAGTAGTGCCTAAAATATATAAGGTTAGTAAATAATAGAATATTATATTAACAAACCTGAAACTGGAGATAGATTCAAAATACTAGCGATAGTAAAATTTGACATTTAAAAAAATGGAAATAAAGTTTTTTAAAAAAATTTTATAAAATATAGAAGTTTAAAATTAAAATTGTCGCAAATTTAAGAAAGAATTATTATAGGTTTTAATTTAAGTTAATTACCGGAAGTTTTTAAAAATATAATGTGTTTCTCAAAATTTTCTTTCAAGTTTTTAAAAATTTTTTTAAAAAATTATCTATTTTTCTCAACAAGTTTTTACAATAATTACGGAAAGTTAAATTGAAGTGTCGGGGCTTCCGTTATGGAATGGTTGGTGGCACATCTCGAAGATTTTTGGTATAAGTCATTTTAGGAAATTTTAAGTTTTATTTAATTTTAAAACCAAAAAAAAAATAAGAATTATCTGAAAACCCTAAATTCGAATTTTCTTTCACTTATGTTTATTAAGAAATTATCAAATTTCTTATCCTGATTTCCATTCTTTAGATAACTAAAAGTAACATTAATATATTGTAATAATACTTTAAATTTAAAAAAATTTATAATGTGCATTTTAAAAAAAAATTATTCTAAAAATCTTAGAAAATTTTTATCCTCATTTTCCCACTTAAACTTGGGTCCAAAACATAAAAAAAGTATATTCGATTTCATAACTTTTTGACTTTAATCTTCATTAAAGTTTAAAAACTCTTATTATTAAAAAAATTTAAAAAAAATTATATCAAAAATTTTTAAAAATTTTATCAAAATGTTTTTACAATAATTATGGAAAGTTATTTAACAATATATAAGAATGTTTTTTCACATAATGAAAATGTGTTACAACAAATCATATTATTTGTAAATTCTGTGGCCACTATGGCGAGGGTGAGGAGGGGTATTTTTACAGAATAAAACTTTTTATAAATATTTTTTTTAAAGATATTGTATATTATTATTTTATTACATTATGTGATTATTTTTTTACAATCTGTATTTATATAACACACGCTTTAAGATATTATAATAATATTTCATTTTCAAGGGTTAAAAAAAAATTATTGCTTTTTTATTTATAATTAGAATAAGATTAATAAATAAGGTTTATAATTTTTCTTAGTTTTCCTTATAAAAATTTCATTTTTGTATATTTCGCTACAAAGTCACACTAACTGTGATTAAAAAAACATGTTTACTCTACCCAAGTAGAGGCTATGCAAATTAAATTTTTATTTAGCCAGAGCCCATTGTAACTTATTCTAAAACCCTATCTCAGTTATTGATATATACCAATTGATTTTTAGGCACTACTAGCACCTTCCTCCTTTCTTTAGCCCTGACCTAAGTCTGAAAATATATAAATTTATTTAAATAAAAAGCATTTTAATTTTTATATTAAATTTTATAGTATCTTCTTCCGTTAATTCTCAGTAAACTATAATTTTGGATTTTATAAATTAAACCATAACTCGATCAGATATAAATTTTTTAATCCCGAAACTGACTTGCTTGCAGGGCTATATTATCTAACAATAAAAACAACCCCGGGTCTGAACCAAGGGTCCGAACCAAGGGTCTGTGCTCCGAGCAGGCCTGAGCACAAAATTGGTTCGTAAATTTTACAACCAAGCAAATTAACAACACTAATTATATATATAGATATATTGAAATATATTTTAAAGGAATTTAGAAAAAGGAGAATATATATATAAAGAAAAAACGAAAATTAAAATATCCAATTTTTAATGTATTTTTTAAATCTGTTTTGTTATATATTATATATTTGATTGTCATTTATTTTTTGAGGGTTGTGCAAAAATAAAAAAACATATTGTTATAATATTTTAATTGTTTGTTTTTTTTAAAATAATTTACCCTATATATCAGTAACCAAAGAATGAATTTAATAATAGATACTACTCAGCAATCTATCATGAAAGAATACGACCTCGACACAACAACAACGGTTATAAAAAATAAATTATCTATATTATAATTTTCCGATGTCCTCACTACGTCATCTCATCGCTACGTGATGTCAACGCTACGTCATGTCATCGCTAAGTATTTATTTATTTTTATTAATTTATTTATTTTTTATAAAAACAAGACTCAATAAAAAGCAACTATTATATCCTGGTAAATAATATTTATAATTTATAAAAAAATTTATTTATTTACTTTTTTTATAGGTGAAATATTTTGAGAAGAAAATCCAAGAAAGCAAGACTCAGATAAAAAGCAACTATAATCCTGGTAAATAATATTTTTAATTTATGATATCAAAAATTAAATATCATTCATTTATTAATTCAACCCATATTCATTTTGAGAAGAAAGGGTAAATAATATTTTTTATTTATAAAAATGAGTTTTTACAAATCAAACAATCATACACCCTTATTTTCCAAAAAATAAGTTTTTACAAGGGCTAATATCAAAAAATAAATATCATTCAATTCTTTCAAGTAAATTAAATTATAAATGCTTATATTTTTTTTACATTTAGAATACATCAATTTTAGCTTCTGATGATATTCTCACTCTTTCTAGAGAGTTGAACCTAATATTGATTCCTCTTCAGGTTTAATACATTATATTTTTAAAATTATTCTTATGTTTTTATTCTAGATAACAAGCCCTGTCTTAACCTCTCTTAATGATTGTACAGATGCTGATTAAGCAACTATTATCCTGGTAAATTATTATTTTTTATTTATTAAAATGAGTTTTTACAAGGGTTGATATCAAAAAATAAATATCATACAATTATTAATTCAGCCCATATTTATTTTGAGAAGAAAAGCAAAGTAAGGGTAAATAATATTTTTAATTTATAAAAATGAGTTTTTACAAATCAAACAATCATCATACACCCTTAGTTTACAAAAAGTATAACATAACATCAATAATTTAAACTTTCTCATTCCAGCTACACACATTCAAAATTATTATAAATATTTATGAAAATAGTTTCAAAACACAAAAGATTAATCCTACCTTTTTTTAAACAAAAATGTAGTATAAAACAAGGATGTGCCACCCCTCATTTTCAATCTACTAAGTGACATCACAAATACCAGTACAAAATGTAGACTGGCTATGCTACGCCGACAACATATATGTCATTATTGAAGATGTCACTAACATTAATTATTTTAACAATAGTCTTAAATAATATTTGAAAAATCCGCCTGATAAAAAATTTTAAAAAACTATTCTATCTTCCTTCCCTTTTAATTTCTTTTATTATCTTCACCTTTCTCAAACTTTTTAATTTCCTATTTCTTTCTCTTTAGCTTCCTTTCCCTTTTAATTTCCCTATTTTCTTTTCATTTACAATATTTAATATGATATTTTTTATAATTTAAATAAATTTATATATCCATTTTAAGCATCCTACGTATTTTTAAAGCTATCCATTTTGCTGGGCCGCACAATATGTCCTTTTATCTCTGATGAATATTTTGTCTAACTAACAGAGAAATATCCAAAGTTCATTATTTTTAGTATTTAACTAAATTAATATATCAATTTTTAAGGATCCTATTTTTTTAAAAGCTTGCCATTTGTCAGATCCACAATTGCTCTATTCTCCATGCTAATTATTTTGTATAACTCACCAAAAAATAAGTAGATTATTTTTATTATAAATAATTTTATATAGGATTTTATATCTATCCAAAAAATCGATATATATATTACAATATTTTTTTTATTCAATTAAAATTATATATTTATTCTTAAGGATTCTACCTTTTAACAATACTCCTTTTTATTTTTAGTATAACTCAATAAAAAAGAAAAAACGGGGTTTTCTATCTTTAGGATTTTAATTCCAAAACAAAATACATACTATGACATTTATATTATTTAAATTATTCTATATCTATTCACAAGGTTACTATTTTTTTTTAATTTGCCAATACTCTCCGAATGGTATTTTATTTTAATCCTACCTTATAAATTAATTTGAGAATTGTTTTGTTTTTACTTTAATTAACTATCCCCATCTTATTTCCTCTTTATAATTGTTCAAATATTGATATATCGGTCATTAATAATGAACAAATGCAAAATAAACCTTTAGAAGAACATGATAGGCTTGATAAGTTCCCAAAAATTTTTTTTTGATTATAGCCCCCCAACTACTAGAAATATACTTTTAATATTGACTCCTCTACAGGTTTACAGAATATTAATGTTTGCTTAATTTCAATAATAGTTTATTTATATTTGTGGCCGATTTCTTTATTTGTCTAGGCTAACTCAATCTTAATCCCTCCCATTGTTACAAAACATGATGAATCTATTATTAAAAGCAAAGAAAAAAATACCGATCCAACAAACGCCTTACCCGTTCTAGAGTTACTGGTGGCCAAGATAATAAAGAACTATGAACTCCTCTGGAGGTTTATTTTGTTTTTTTTCTAATGTTTTATATCTATATGTTTATTTTATATTCACCCAGTTGCCTCCAAATGATATTTCTATCACCACTACCACAATCCCTATGCCACCTCTGCCTAATTTTTAACAAACATAAGCATTTAATTCCACTATCATTCACCTCACTAGGAGTTAATATAAATAATACTTTATCCGATTCTCTGAGGAACTTTCATGAATATTTAGAGGGATGTTCAAACGTGAATGTGTAGTGCGGCCAATTTCATTAACATTATTAATGGGGAAATATTCGGTAGTTTTGTCATGGCCTTTAAAACAATACTTACGACCGTTTTATGGTTGAGGTTCATGATTCTATTTTATAGGGGGATACCAAAACTGACACTTTGGCAGCAATATCATTTTGCGTTCTTCTTTTACCATTAGCCCAAGGCCTCAGCTTTATCTGGACGCAATGGGTGTTGTACACTGCTTTGGTAATCCGTCATTATTCATTACTTCACATAAAACCCAAAATAGGATGATATTATACATTAATTATTTCCTCTGTAGACGACTGCCCAGATATATTTTGTCGCTTTTTCCATCAAAAATTAAAATGTCATAAAGAATTTGCTCTTAATTTTATCAGACACACAAAATAATAATTAATCCCCATCATTTATTTAAAAAATTACCTAAATTTATATGGCAAGAAAAACAAATTTCCTAAAAAATATATAAATAAATTGCATATAAGTTTCATTAGTGTTGAATGGCATTTTTGTAATTTAAATAGATAGCATTTTTTTTGTACTTAACATAAAGATATAGATAGCCCTTATCAAGTTTTTTGATAAAAGGAGTTAATCCACTAATTGGTAAATCCGAGAGTTCCCCTTCATGTGATGATAAATTATTTAGAAATTTAACTATCTCCGGGTTTGGGAAAAAGTTTTGAAAATTAATATGGGTTGGACTGGGCTTGGAAAATATTCCTCAAGATTAATATTTGCTTGCACCTGACTTGGGAATATCTTTTACAAATTATTATGGGCCGGGCTAGGAAAAAATTTTCAAAATTATTATGGGTTGAGCTAGGCTTGAGAATTTTTTTTTAAAATTATAAGTTCTTGGACGCTTGAAAATTTTTTCCAAATATTATGAGCTTGAACCTGGCTTGTAATTTTTTAATGTTAAATGTTAATCTTATGTAATCAGTAATATATTAACAAAAAATTTTGATATTAGGTAAAAGCTCATTTAAATATATTTTGACTCAAAAAATAGTTTCCATTCATAGTCCTAATGGGTTGGACTCAATGACATTGGTTGGACTTGACCTAAATGGGGAGGGAGCAGTGGCGTAGCTAGGAATTTTCCTTAGAGGAGGTCCATACATATAAAAGTTCGGCCGAGTTTATCTTACAAATCATAACCATATCTTCGATAATATATAATATATATATTTTTTAAATGCATCAATAATATGTTATTATAATTTAGTAGATTATTCTCAATGACTTTATAATAATACTATCCAGAATAATTTCAATAGTAATATAATTGATATAAAATCACTTTTAAGTCTTTTGAACGTATAATCTAAAAAAAAATTTGCTCTGGGAGGGGTCCAAACCCGAAAACCACCCCCGTAGCTACGCCACTGGGAGGAAGGAAAGTTAAAAATAATATAAATTGGATATGATTTTTAAATAAAAGGTAACATCTTTCTTAAAAAAACGAATAAAATTCTAATTCTCCGTCATTTTTGACGGGCTATCTACTAGTTTTTATTAAAGCAACATCATTGTAAGGGGTTATCTCGAATAAAAAAAGGTAAGATTTGATATTTCTTTTAATAATATTAGGGCAGAAGTAAGATTTGATATTTCTTATTGTCATGATTCTCTAATAAATGGTTTGCCAAGGCTTTCAGTTTTCCTAATTACGGAATACACGTGATTTTTTTGCATATATAACTAGGAGTTAGCCAGTAGACTAATTGGTAAATCGGATATTTCCCCTTCATGTGAGATAAATTAATTAGAAATTTAACTATCTTCAAGGTGGGAAAAAATTTTCAAAATTATAATAAGTTGGACTGGATTTGGAACCTCAAAATTAATATTGGCTTGCACCTGACTTAGAAATATCTTTTACAAATTATTATGAGCCGGGCTAGGAAAAAATTTTCAAAATTATTAAGGGTTGAGCTGGGCTTGAGAAAATCTTTTAAAATTATAAGGTCTTGGATGCTTGAAAATATTTTTCATTGTGAGCTTGGACCTGGTTTGAAATTTTTTAATGTTAATATTAGTCTTATGTACAGTAATATTTTTACAAAGTTTTTGATATGGGGTACATTTAAATATATTTTGATTCAAAAAATAGTTTCCACTTTTAAACCTAATGGGTTAGACCAAATGCATTGGTTTACACTTGACCTGAATGGGGGGGGGGGGGTTAAAAACTTCTTAACCTGTTTAAAAATTGGATATGATTTACATCTATCGTAAAAAAACGAATAAAATTATCTTTCCCCGTCATTGTTGTCAGGCTTTTTACTAGTTAGTTTAAAGGTTTAATTTCTCACTTCTAGGAAATAACAAAAAAATATATTTTAATTTGAACTTTACAAACTTGCATTTCAGCAACACAAAACCTATTTTAATAAAAACTATAACAATACGAATGCTTCAAAATGTACCCAAATGTTAAAATTTGTATGGGAATTATGACCCTTCATCTAACTAATCATGGGTAGAGGGGCTATATTATACTTTAAATTAATCAAATAAATGCAAATAAATTAAAAATAGACAGATTTTTTTTAGATACTTTGCAGAAGCAATTAAAAGATTTTAGATCAATTTAAGTCAGTCCAAAAAATTAATACATATTTCTTATTACTATTAAATAAATATTTTGATAATTTAGTAATTATAAAATAGATTGATATCTTAAAAAGGCGGATATAATAAAATATATACCATAAGGAAAAGAATGTAAAAAATGTAAAATTATTTATTTTATTATAGTAGAAATCGGTTTTAATCGGGTTAACCCAATGAAATAATCAGCTGGACCCGCCATTTTGACACATATAGTAATTATTCTCATGTTAAAAATTATTATTAAATTGATAACTTACTTCCCTATTATCTCGTTGATCCGGTAATTCTTTAATAAAGTTTGCATCAGATATAGGAGTAAATTAGGCTCTCGTTTAAAATTTTAATAATGATTAGTGTAACCAAGATGGCGTCTTCAGCTGATTTGCATTGATGTACACTTTTAATAAATGAATAGTCAGTTTAGGTATTATATAGATCATTGGGTAAAACTAACAGAGTTGTACGCTAGACATCACCTATCCTAATAGCGGATCAACACTCAACGATTTTCAGCACAGCCATTTTGCAAAATGTATATGTTTTTTTCATACCTTTAAATTATGCTCTTTAAAAAAAAAATTATAATTTTATTTTTCTCAACTATTTTCATATGTATAATATATATCCTTAAATGCTTAAATTTAAGATTTAATAGGGAATTTTATTCGAAATTTAAAAAGGAATCTTATATATCTCAATGTTTTTACAATCGATTTGATGAACATTTTCAATGTGTACACATAGATGATGATGTTTATATCTCCTTTAATTTTTTAAAAAATAAATACGAATTAGTTGGAAATCATCAATATGTCAATGGGACTAGTAAATTTCTGTTGTATCATAGTACACAAAAGGGATTATATGAAATTAAGTCCTACTCATGGCATGGAATTTATCCATCTTTTGAATATTTTAATGTAGAGAGTAGAAAAAGAGTAAAGTGCATTAGTGGTATAGAAGGTATATTAAAGAATACATTGAAGTTTATTAATATATTTAAGGAGTTCCTGTATCAAATCAATGGAACTCTAAAGGACATTTTTATCCTATTCAAATAGCTCAATATGGGTTATCTCATTTTAGTAAATCTTTTAATAATGATTCAAAATTTGTGAATATTATGGACCAAATGTTGAATAATAAAAATTTTGAACAAACATATATTAATCCCAAGATTTATTATTACAACATTAAAACAGGTAAATTTTTATTATCTAAAACCATTTTTAAATATTTTTTGCATATTTGAGGATATAAAATGAATACACATTAAGGAGGTGGTAACTATTTAGACTAGTCAGCATGACCTAGCCCAAAGCCTGATGAATATTAAACTGGGTTAAGTTACCTTGACAAAATATTTTTTAGGTTAGACAGGACATGGTTCAAGTCACTGACCTCTAATTTATAGATAAACATGTATTTCCAAATTTTTGTCTTTAAAATATAATTAAAAAATTTAACACATATATAATATATAGTATTCCCTTATATTATTTATACAAATTGAGATTTAGTGTGGCATATTTAAGAGATCCTTCTTGAACAGGGATGTGAGCCCTCCTAAAAAAATGAGTTTGGGTTCAATGAAAAATAATTTAGATGGTTTCAGAGTTCAGAGACTAGAAAAATAATTTAGATGGTTTCAGAGTTCAGAGACTAGAAAAATAATGACTTATTAAAATTAGTTAAAATAACAGAAACATCATTTTTTTTTAAAATTATTTTTATTAGTAATGCCATAAAGAATTTATCATCATATAATACTACAATACAATTTAAAAAATAACATATTTTTATTTTAAAAATTTTATTTAAGCGAATTATAATATCTTCTAAAATATCATTGTTAATATTTCCTTCTCTCCTTTCAGATTCATTTAATAATCTTATAGACTTAATTTGCACTATTATAAGTTGTTACAGTGTATATATAGGTTGTTTTATGGAATGTCAAATTTATTCTGGTTTCTAAAATCATTTTTTAAAATTTATTATCTCATGTAGCTATTTCTTTCATCACCAAATTTCTTAATTCGATAATATTACATCAAACATACTGAATATTTATTCCCAGAATGCTTCTATCTAATTGTTTAGCAAAATTAATTTATAAACTAACTAATTTAATTTTTGTTTCTTTTTTATTTTTTCTCCCTATTTTTTTAGACTCATCTGTAATCAAGTCTCTAATTTTATAACGATTCCAAGGATTTAGTACAATAATTTTTTTAAACCCAGAGTTTTCAATTATTGAAAAAGGGTCACCATAATGGTCACCATCTAAACCAAAGCATTTGTCAGATCTTCTAACATTGAAATATGATTAGATTTTTTCGTCCAATATCTTTCAATTTTATGAATTTCTTTTTTATCAGATTTGGTAGTGTTGGATTATGCAAATTTAGTTAAAAGATAATTATGGAACAAAATTAATTTAAATGATGGATTTTTATTTTATGTGTTTATTTCTTCGAAAAATTATATTTGTATATGCAAAATAAATTTTACATTTTTTTATAGTTTATGGAACAAAATTAATTTAAATGATGGATTTTTATTTTATGTGTTTATTTCTTCGAAAAATTATTATTTTAATATGCAAATACTTATAATGTTTAATGGCTATAAAAAAAATATATAAATAGCTAAGAAAAATAATTATTTTTTAACGGATGATATTTTAAAAATTAATTTAATAAAAGAATTACAGACGATATTTTGTTTCTTCAAAATTTGTGTGAAATTTAATAAAAAGGAAAGATTTAATACAGAAAAAGTAAGTCTACAATTTAATAAATTAGAATTATTTAAAAGAGTTACATTATATATTTTAGGTGTGCTCAAAAGTAAGTAGTTAGCCATCGTTATTATTAATTTTAATCCTTTATTTTAATTATATAGATTTAATACACCTTTGATTCTTAATTAGCTCTCCCAATACTGTGTTAACACCCTGAGTTAAGTTCGGACTTGTAACAATTTGGACCGAAGTAAATCAGGGCCTGTTAGATATTCACTTAGGAATTCAAAGGTAAAAACAAATTTATTTTATGTTATTTAAATTATTATTACTTTTATTTATTATAGTAGTAATTTTATATTTATACAATTTTTTTAAATTATTTTAATCAAGTGGTTATTGAGTACACTGTAATGTATATTACGCAAATAAATTTATTAAGTTTAATACTTGAAAATATAAGTATAATTATATTTTTGGTGCTAATTTTAAGTTTCACGTTAGGTTTAATTATAGGAAGAAATACGACTTACGTTAAGATAGAGATTAAAGAGTTAGAAAATATTAAGAATATATTAAGAGAGGAAGATAAGAAAAGAAATATAAACAACTTCATACGAACGGATAATTACAGACAGATAAGTTGCTATAGCTGTGGTCAGCCAGGCCATATGTCGCGTGATTGTGATTTAACAAAAGATTTGAAATGCGCGAGATGTGGCAGGAATGACCATTTAGCTATAAGATGTAGGTTAAACAATATAATTGTGAGATGTAATATTTGTGGCCAGGATGGACACACTCAAGAAAAATGTAACAAATGACTAAGAAAGAAATATTTTGATAATGAATTTAATAATTTTTTTAATGTTGATAATTTAGTAGAAAATAAGAATAAATATTTTAATTGTAATAATAAAGTTGGTAATAATAGTTTTTCGAATTTTAGTTCAGGTAAAATTAAGCATTTTAATTTTAATGATAGATTAGATCATTATAATAATTTTGTTAATGTTAATAATTGTAGTAAAAATAAGTATTTTAATTTTAATAATGATAAATTGGATAATGTTGATAATGCTAGTGCAAGTAAGAATAATTATTGTAATAAGAACGATAAATTTTGCGATGATAAAAAGTGCTTTAACGTGGATAATTATAATTCAAGCGATATTAATAGAAGTGATATGAAAATAAAAAGTAGAGATTTTGAAATATATAGAATTAAAAAGGCAACTAGTGTAGACGTACTAAAGATGGAATTAGAGAATTTTTTAATGAAAAATAGATGCCCTAGAGTAAAGATAAACATGGAGGAAGCAGAAATTTGTTTTTTATTAGATACAGGAGCAGAAATTAGTTTGATAAGTATAAAGGATTTTATGAGATTTTGGCCAGAGAAAGAATTTGTTACAAAAAAGATAAGAGCCAAACAATTGGATGGTAGCATGGTGAAAATTTTAGGGTATTATAGGGTAAGGTTACCAAGAGCTAATAAAAGTATAAATTTGTGGATAACTACGTTGAAGATTGAACCGATTTTAGGATGGTATGATATAAGAACGTTAGGTCCAGTTTATAATTGGTGGAAATTTTTCGATACTATCCCTGTAAGTAATGATGAAAATAGTGAAATGATAGATTTCGATAGAGTTAAGTTACCTATTATAGAGGGTAAACAAGAATTAGTTCGCGAGAAACTTAGAAATCGAACAACAGAATTTATTGAGAATAGTGAAATAATAAGGAGTGATTTCGATAGATTTAAGTTACCTATTATAGAGGATAAACAAGAATTAGTTCTCGATAAACTTAGAAATCGAACACCAGAATTTTTGATTAAATATAGAAGCAACTTAGAAGAAAATAAGAAAACAAGAGATATAAAGACAATAGAGGTAAATTCAGTCGAAATTAAACAAGAAAGTAATAATATGGTAGATCAGAAGGTTGTTGAAGATATTTTGGACAAAGAGATAAAGATTATTTTGAATAGGTATAAGGAAGTCTTTAAAGAAGAATTAGGTACTCTGAAAAATTTTGAAGAAGATATACGATTAGAAGAAAATTATAAACCTAAGTTTTGCGGAATAAGAAGATTACCGTTTTCGTGGATAGAAGAGATAGATAAAGAATTAGATAAATGGTTAAAAAACGGAATAATAAAACCAATAGTGCATAGTGAATGGGCAACACCTTTAGTGCCCATAAGAAAACCAGATAACAGTTTAAGATTGTGTATAGACTATAGAGTAACAGTGAATAAGTTCGTAATAAATGAAAAGTATCCACTACCTAGAATAGAACAACTGCTAGCGAATTTAAGAGGAGACACCCTGTTTTCAAAGATTGATTTTTCGAATGCTTATTTGCAAATTAAGGTGAGTGAAAAGACAAGTAAGATACTAACGATTACAACTCATAGAGGTTTGTTTGCATTCTGCCGACTACCTTTTGGTTTGAAAATATCAGCACCAATATTTCAAAGAACGATGACGGCGTTATTTCAAGGAATAAAAGGAATAATGTATTATTTAGATGATGTTTTGATATCTGGTAGAACAGAAGAAGAACACAATTCGAGATTAGTTAAAGTGTTAGATATTATATTAGAAAATGGTTTAAAAGCTAATTTGAAGAAGAGCGTTTTTGGAGTAAAAGAAATAAAGTATTTAGGACATGTTATAAAGGGAAATGAGATTACGCCAATTGTAAAGAATATAGATAAGATCATGAATATTAGAGCCCCGAATAATAAAGCGGAGGTGCAAGCGTTTTTAGGAGCAACAAATTATTATCATCGGTTTGTTCAAAATTTTGCAGAAATTGCTACACCGTTGTATGATTTATTAAAGAAAAATAAAAAGTTTGAATGGGGAGAAGCACAGGAGAAAAGTTTCGAAAAGTTGAAAATAAAGATGGTAGAGAAGCCTATTTTAAGTTGTTTTAATGAGAAATTAAATATTATTTTAGCAGTCGATGCTTCTAATGAAGGTATATGAGGAGTTTTGTTGCAGATGATAGATAATGTGGAGAAACCTGTTTTATTTTTATCGAGACGATTTAATAACACTGAGAAAAATTACTCAACGATAGAAAGAGAGGCTCTAGCAGTGAAATTCGGGTTTACGAAGTGTAAGGAATATCTGATAGGAAAAAGGTTTTTATTGTATACGGACCATAAGCCGTTGGTAGATTTATTTAAGAAAGAGAATAAGGAACTTATGATTTCACCCAGGCTGCAAAAATGGCTAATTTTAGTTGGTAATTTCGATTTTGAAATAAAATTCAGAGAAGGTAAACAAAATTGCTTACCGGACATTTTATCAAGATTGTTTAATAAAGATATTGAAGACAAAGAGCCAGTAATCAATAGTTTAGAATATATAGAAGAAGAAGAAAATGTAAAGGGTAATATTATAAGAGCGGTGAGAATAGATACAAGAGAAAAACCTA